GAAGCAACGTAGGATGAGAATGCTGAACAGGAGAGACAAGACCAGCACGAGAGGGACGGCGAGACCAGACGTGAGACGGAGGCGTCGGGTCAGGAGATAGAGGAGGAGTAATAAAAGGGGAACGAGAGGGGAAACGAGCCGGGGACGAGTCCGGCGGAGGAAACACAGGACCGTGAAAAGGAAGAGGGGGAGCCGTCGAGGGAGGCGCAGACAAGCAGTCAGGGGCGGGAAGGCCGAGCAGGCAAAGGGCGGACACCGGCGGCGGCTGCTGCTGCTGCTGTTGAATGCCAACACCTGGACCAGCAGCTGCACCACTGCTACCTCCGATACACTCCACGCCAGCACCCCCAGAACAAGAAACGTCTCCAGCGCCGGTGCCACCCCCGAGCCCGTTGGGACAAGCCACAACAGGAGCCCCAGGATTAGCACCCTCTCCAACTCCGGCACGGCTAGAGTCCACGAACGGCTGCGGCTGCGACGACGGCTGCGGCTGCGGCGGCGGTGACGGCGGCGGCTGCGGCGGCGGCTGCGGCTGCGGCGACGGCTGCGGCTGCGGCGGCGACTGCGGTGAGGGAGGAGGAGACACCGGGGGAGGGACAGGCGCAAACTGCGCCGCGGGGCCACCGGAGTCAGCAGACTCCTCGACCTGGACAACCGACGGGAGGGGAGTGATGTGAGACACACCAGACGGAGCAGGACGGGGAGGGAGGGGAGCAGGGGCGACCGGGGGAGTGGGAACCAAAAACAATGGGGGGGGAACCGGGAGACCTCAATGAGGAAAGCAATGGAAAAAGGAGACAAACTCATCGAAAGTGACGTCACGGGAGTGAAGGAAGCGGTGAGACGGCGGGAAACCGACGAAGACACAGGGGATGGTGCAGGCAGTGAGCTTGTCCGTGCTGGAGGCACGAACGTGAGCGAGGCAGCCCCAGGCGTGGAACGCAGACGCGTCACCAGGGAACCCGGTCCAAAGAAGGGTCGGTGAAACCTGCGGCCGCAGGGAGCGAGGCCAGAGGTTAAGCTGGTGAGCGGCGTAGCGAATGGCAAACGGCCACAGAAAATGGGGTGCACCGGCATGGATCATGGAGGTACGAGCCACCTGCATGACCAAACCGATGCGTCGCTCAGCGACCCCATTCTGCTGCGGGGAGTCCGGTAGGGTGTACGTCTGGGTGATACCCTCCGCACGACAGAACTGACCCAGCCAGCCAGAGGCGAACTCGCCGCCACGGTCGGAGTGGTGACACAGCACAGGGAAACCACGGTGGAGGTGCGCAGCGACGAGCCACGAGACAAGAATGTCAGGCACGTCGGCCTTTCGCTCCAGGGGAAACACCGGGGTGTAGCGCGTGAAGTTGTCAACGAGCACCAGAAAGTAGCGCTCGCGACGCGGTCAAGGGACAGGGGTGGGGCCCCAGACGTCCAAGTGTAGGGTCTGAAGGGGTGCAGTGGCAGGGCGAAGTGAGGAGGAGTGAGGAGCATGGCACAGCCGGCCCTCAACGCAGGGCGTGCATGGCGGCACAGGCGAGGGAGGGAGAGCAGGGAGCGACGTAGAGAGGCCGAGGACTCGACCGTGCTGAGACATGTGACGCAGGCGGGGGAGCGCGGGGTGACTTAGGTGGTAGTGCCACAACAGTGACGGGTGGATGAGCGACCGACACAAACAGGCCGCAGCTACCTGGGTGGACGCAGAACTGGAGGAGGACTTGCCCGCCAAGGGGGGGAGCAGTGTCCAGCGTAAACAGGCCAGACACAGGATCCCGGGGGAACGTCGCAAGGGGGGCACCTGAGGCGGCCTCGGAACAGACCGCGTACCGCTCGTGACCAGGGAACATAGTGGTGACGCCAAGGTCCTGAAGACAGCCGGCACCAACTAAGTTCCTGGAGAACGAAGGGATGTGCAGGCTCGTAAGGGAACCCGAGGGAACCGCCGGACAGGGAAGGGTAGTGTAGCTACGAGCAACTACAGGACTAGAGGAGGAGTCTGCAAGGGCGACAGCGGCAGGCGCAGCAAGCGGCGTGAGGGCGGCGTTGTCGCGGAAGAAACAAGCTAACGCACTGGAGTCTAGAGTGAAGGAGAGCGACGCCGTAGTTGCCGAAGACGTTGGAGCATGGGTAGAGCCTAGGCTAGACAAAGCAAGCTGTCCTATGCCTGACGCAGCAGGGGAGTCTGGACTATACACAGGTGCTACGCCTAATCTAGAGAACACAGAGTAATACGATCCGTAAACACTCGAAGTGTCAGCATACAGAGTATGCAAGGCATAACTAATCTGATCAATGTTTAAGTCAAACACAGGCACACCGTGGCGCAGCAGGCTGGGCCAGTCAGGGAGGTCCGGGGCAGGACCAACGCGGCAACGGAAGAGGTCGTCGAAGTGGCGGAAACATCGGGCGGTGGGGTGCGAGCGGCGGCACACCGTGCCATGTAGAGGCCCAGTCTGAAGCTGGTACTGGCAGCTCACAATACGGAAGCTGCCGGTGGACGCCGAGCTGCGAGGGCCACCACCACGACCACCACCGCCAGGAGCTCCTGGCCACCCAGGCGAGAGACGAGCCTACAGCTGCTGCTGCGGCTGCTGCTGCTGCTGCTGGGACGGCTGCGGCTACTACGGCAACTGCGACTACGGCGGCTGCGACTGCGGCGACTGCTGCTGCTCCTGGGCACCAGCACCAACCCCCTCATCAAAACCACTGTCTTTGCCACCACCACCACTAGTGCCACCTCCACGTCCTCCCTTGGGGCCATGGCGTCCCTAGCGCTGGCGCTGCTGCGAGTAAGCCGCAGCTGCTGTCTCAGGTGCAGGCGCAGTCGTGGCAACTACGACGGATACGTCAGCGTACGTGCACTGGGAGGGGGCACAGCCCTGAAAGATAGGGACTGCCGCAACACCGCTCGACTGAGCGATAGTGCGCTGGCGAGTCTCTATCTTAGACAGAGTAGTGACAAAGGCGGTCAGGGTGAGGTCGGCAGGGTGCTTACTAAGGAAGTGGTCGCGGGCAAAGGCTAAGCGGTCAGGCAGGCGCATGGCAATGAGGTACAGTGTAGCGTAGAAAGGTAGGGGGAAGGCAGTATGCTGGGCGGTAGAGCTAGCAGCGCGGTAGCTGGTCTATAGTGCACGGAGGTGAGTAGCGAGGTCAGCTATCGTGGGGAAAGCAGAAAGATCAGGGAAGAGCATGGGTAGGATAAAGCGGCCAGCAAAGGCGGAAGCAGGTGTGGAGTAACGCTCAACCACTGCAGCAAGAAAGTCCTTGGCGTTCGCGACAGCGGTAAAGCGCGGACGCTCAGACAGGGGGAGGGCATGGCTAATGGCAAGCTGGGCTACTGCGTCGTGAGAATCCCAGATAGCTCGAGCAAGCGCAGCACCAGCAAAAGCCTCGCTCTCAGCAGTGGTAGGGTCAGGAGGGAGGGGATCAGGCGCAGGGGGGCGGGGAAGCAAACCGTCAACATGCATAGCCAGGGAGTGCCCATCCTGGCGCTGACCTGTCAGGTGCCGGCGGAGGTCGACGAGCCTGGCGGCGAAGTCGATCGCGTGCCCCTCAGCGTCCAAGCGAAGAACGGCGTCCGCCATCGCACAGTGTGACAGCGGCACAGCGGCTCAGCGACTCGGCGGCTCGGGGACACGGCAGAACGGCGGCGCGGCAGCTCGGCGGCACGGCGGCTTGGCGGCGCAGGTGCTCGGCGGCTCGGGGACACGGCGGCTCGGCGGCTCCGGCGGCGAGGCCGGCTAGGGCGCAAGGGGCCGGATAGGGCACATGGGGCCGGCTAGGGCGAGCGGGGCCGGCAAGGGCGCGTGGGGCCGGCTAGGGACGCGGGGGCGGCGGTAGGAGCACGAGGGGCCGTAGGGGCGCGAGGGGCCGCTAGGGGCGCGAGGGACCGGTAGGGGCGCGACGGGGCCGTAGGGACGCGACAGGGCCGTAAGGGCGTGACGGGGCCGTAGGGGCGCGACGGGGCTAGCTAGGGGCGCGACGGAGCCGGCTAGGGGCGCGAGGGGCCGTAGGGGCGCGACAGGGCCTGCTAGGGGCGCGACGGGGCCGTAGGGGCGCGACAGGGCCTGCTAGGGGTGCGACGGGGCCGTAGGGGCACGACGGGGCCGTAGGGGCGCGACGGGGCCTGCTAGGGGCGCGACGGGGCCGTAGGGGCGCGCGGGGCCAGCTAGGGGCACGAGGGTCCGGTAGGTGGCGGCACGGGACGGAAGCGGGTGGGTGGACCTACCTACTCGTGATACCATGTTGAGACTAGAAAGAATGAATAGAAGAAGGGAGAACATGGGAGATATAGCGTTTGGGTTGTACCCACTAAGAACATACCCTATCTAGCCTATAACTTCTACATAACAATATATGTATAAGTTGACACATCTGTCATGAATGATCACTCAGAGTATAGCGTAGAATTCTATAAGGGGAACATGATTACAGAGTGCCCTATCCAAATGAGACCTAGGGCTTATATAGTGCGAGTTGACTAGGTTGAGTGTCGAGGGTTGGACCATTTAAGGGCTCGATAGTCCCAAGGGTGACGGGGTCAAAATGGGTTCTGGGTGACTCGGGATAAGGTTGGGGCCGACGAGGTCGACGGGGACTGGTTTGAGGGCCGAGCCTGCGGACGCGAGCTGTTCGCGCGTACTCGCTGTGGCGAGCCCCAGTAAGGAATCTTAATTCCTTACAAGACCGGCCACGAATATCTGTCTGATGATCAGACGAAGCTCTAGGAGCACGTCTGGTTTTCAGACTGCCCTAAAAACTAACAGGAGCCCTGGTTCAGACGTTTTATGTGTAGTTTGCCCACTTCGTGAAATCTATTTGTCATTCTCATTCCCGAATCGTTATTTTCTGCACGCCAAATGACAATACATCGTAACGAGCACGGCTGCAAGAAGTGTGAAAGTGGCGCAAATGCGTCCCCTCCCCGATTGGGCTGAGGGCCTAACCCGTTCCCCGTCCTTTGGGTTGTTCGACCTCTCGGGCTTTGGCTGACGACCACGCGACGCGAGCTGTCTCATGCTGCACCACCAAGGTCGTCAGCATACGAGTTTGTGACCGGCGACAACTGGACGACGAACACACGCGACACGAGGGTCGCCCGCTTGAGCGGGTGTTTAGTGTTGAGCGGCTACGGCAAGGTGCGGTACTGTGAGGAGACTGAACAGAGAGGTGGGAGCTCTGCAGTACGGTGAACAACAGCACCCCTCGGCATTCTAAGCCAGTGGCTGCCACGGCTGTCGCACCTCCATGCCCGGGCCCACCTCCGCCAGTCCGGGCCTGCCCCGCCGATGCCGCTGCTGTCGCGTTCAGGCTGGCGGCGTGTGTCCAGCAGGCGGGGTTAGATAGGACGCGAGATCGGCGGGCTATCCCTTGGTGGCGCCACTCCACGGAACCGTTTCAGAAGCGTACGCTAAGAGAGCCGAGGGTGCTGTGGATTGTCGCTGTGTCCATGTCAACGCGAGGGCGACATGGCTGCGTGTGTCGCCAGCGACGTGTGTGTCGCCAGCGATGCGTGTGTCGCCAGCGACGCGGGTCCAGCGCGGGTCAGAAGCCGACGAGAGGGACTGGGCATCAGCGGCGTGTGACCGTTGACGCGCCGTGCCGTGCCGCCACGCCACGAGCGCCTCAGACGGGACTTCCGTCTGCATCAGCACCGAGGGTCGGCCGGCAATCTCGAGGCCACGAGTAGATGGCGACCCGCGGTCTTGGGACGGAGCGCATGGTGCCCTTTCGCTCCTTGTGCGGCGTGATGCAGTCGGTTCCACTATTTAAGATCGCTGCTCGTGTCCCAATGTCGTCAACCTCAATCGCGACTTCATCGCCATCGCTCGTTGCGTTTCCTTGCGGCGTCCACGCCGATTCCAGCGCTCGCCGATCCACTCGTCGATCCCAGCAGCGACCGACTGGCGCTCGCCGCCGTCACCATGCGCCACCTCGCCTTCCCGCTGCTCGCACCGCTCCTCGCCGCGGCGGCACTCGCGGCCGCCCTTGAGCCTGTGCGCGTTGCGCCGCTAGCGGGGCCGGCTTGCGTGAGCGACTTCCCGCGCCGCCCGCTGTGCAAGTTCGTGGACGACCTGGTGGCGGCGCCGCGCGTGCAGGTGGACGCGGCCACGGGGAGGACCATCCAGATCGGCGTGTACCAGATCCTCCAGGCGCGTGCGCTCCCCCTCTCTCCCTCCCTCCCTCTTTTCTCTGTCTTCCCCTCAAAATCCCCCCCCCCCCCAGTCCCTTCCCCTTACACCCCTCCCCCCCCTCTCCCTCCCGCGTCACCGACTCACTCGGACCGTAACCTTTCCCACTCGGCCTGCCCCCCCACACCAAAGCTCCATCGTAACCTTCCACAGACCAGGCTGCACGCATATGCGCCACCCTCACTTGCTCACTCGCTTGCTTCCCGCGTGCCCCTCCCTCCCTCTCTCTCCCACTCTTGCCCCCCATCACCCCCCTTCCACCCCCCTCGCCAGAAGCTGCACCGCGACCTGCCGCCCACGAAGCTGTACGCATATGGGCTCAGCGAGCGCACGGCGCGCTACCCCGGACCCACGCTCGTGGCCAGACGGGGCGTGCCCACCAAGGTGCGGAGGGCACTGGGATATTGTGCTGGTAGCAGCCGTGCTCTGTTACTCCTCCTGCCACCCCTTCAACTGTAGACATTTCGGTAAGCCAGTGCATTTTTCCAATTGCCTGGAAAGTCGATTTGACACGAGCTGTGGTGTGCTGTGCTGTGCTTAGCTGTGCTGTGCTGTGCTGTGCTGTGGTGTGCTGTGCTGTGGTATGCTGTGGTGTGCTATGCTGTGCTGTGCTGTGGTGTGCTATGCTGTGCTGTGCGGTGCTATGCTGTGCTGTGCTGTGCTGCGCCATCCATTCAGGTCCTTTGGGTCAACAAGCTGCGCGACCAGCAGCACATGTTCGCTGTGGATTACAGCCTCCATGGACGTCGCTACACCGCACCAAGGCGGCATTCCCATTGGCAAGCCACTCTTACTTGCTGCCATCCAGCCGTGCTCGCCTTCACTCGCCCGCCCTCATCACAGCGGCTGTGCCAGCAGCCTCGTTTCTGCCACCATGATTGCTTGCGCTATGCATGCCCCTTCGCCTCATATTGCCATGCATGGCCTTGTTGTGCCTCGGCCCTATTGCCAACAGCCCTTCCTCACATGTCTCTCTCAATGCCTCAACCGTACCTTCATTACCTTTGTCCCTCCCCCCCGTGCCCTTGCTGTCATTTCCCCGCTCTCAACCGCGCCCCTTCTTTTCCACCTTCCCCCCTCTCCCCTCCCCCCCCCCACCTTCGCCCCAACTACCAGTGGTGCACCGGCACGGCGGCGGAGACCGCCAGTGAGTACGACGGCCACCCGGAGGCGTGGTTCACGCAGCACGGCGACAAGGGCCCCGCCTTCCGCGCGCGGCGCTACACGTACCCCAACGACCAGCAGGCGGCCACGCTGTGGTACCATGACCACGCCATGGGCATCACGCGCTTGAACGTGGCGGCGGGCATGGCGGGGCTGTACATCGTCACCGACCCCCAGGGCGCGGAGAAGCACCTTCTCAAGCACCTGCCCGGCGCGGGGTACACAGTGGCGCTGGCCATCTCGGACCGGCGGTTCCACGCCAACGGGTCCATCGACTACCCCAGCCAAGGCATCGTGCCGTCCATGCACCCGCACTGGGTGCCCGAGTACACCGGCGACACCATCCTCGTCAGTGGACTCGTGAGTGCCTCGTTGATTCTCCCTGCCTGCCACTGCCCTCACCTCGCTTGCGCGAGCTCTTGAACCCACCAGCTTGCCACCTCTCTGGCCTCCTCATGTGCTCTCCACAACTCTCCTCCCCCCCCTTTCTCTCAGGTGTGGCCGTACATGACTGTGCGCCGCACGCGCTACCGCTTCCGCGTGCTGGGGCCGCCAATGCGCGCTTCTTCAACATGCGCTTCGTGTGCGCTACTGCCGCCAACTACCCAGACTTTGCACCGCCCTTCACCGGGCATGTGCTGCCCATGGTGCAGGTGAGAGACAGGCAGGACGGGCTTTGAGAAGACAAGGCGACACCAGCGCACCATTTCGTCTTCTCCCAGTACCCTTTCACTTGCTGCTGGCAGCCCTTGTTTCCCACTCCACCTCCCCATTTCCCCACCCACCCCCCTCCCAGATCGCTCTGACGGCGGCTACCTGCCCGAGCCCGTCACGCGCGCCTCCCTGCTGCTGGCCCCGGCGAGCGCTACGACCTCCTCATTGAATTCTCCTCACTGCCAGCTGACTGTGCTGACGTCATCCTCACCAACGACGCCCCTTCACCGTACCCCAGTGGCGAGCCTGTGACGAACGACACGGCGTGTCATGCGCTTCATCGTGGACCGCGACAGCGCCGTGCTGCCCGCTCCGCCCATCCAAGAGGCTCGTGGTGAGAGGCTTGCTCCAGTGGCTGCAGCCAGAGTGCCATCCGCATCCCTCCTTCCCCTGCGGGCGACCCTGTTGGCAACAGCAGCACTCCCTGTGTCTCATGCGCTCTCTATCCCTGTTGGACCTCCGTCTGTGCGCTCCAGGCCGTTCCCCCCGTGGACTTGTCCCAGGTGGCGGTGGAGCGGTGGATGGCAGCCGTGGAAGTCACGGACCCCGCCACTGACCTGCCCATCCGCGTCACCTTCGACCGCAAGATGTACCGCGACCCGCCCTCGGAGATCCCCAGGGAGGTCAGTCAAAAGGGGGATAAATGAGTGGCGCGTGGGTCGGGTGATGGGGGGTGCCATGCTGCTCCTGCCACCTTTCCACCAAAAACCTCCTTTCAATTTGCATAATTCGATACTAGCTTGTTTGATGTATGCATGCAACCCATCCGTATGGTTTTGCAGGGCTTGGAGGAGCTGTGGCATGTGCCCAACGCCCATCCCACCAATATCTGGACCCGGCCGTCCATCGGATCCCCCTCCCTTCTCATTGCACCCCACAGGGCTCGGAGGAGCTGTGGCATGTGATCAACACGACGCCCGACGCCCATCCCATCCACCTGCACCTCATTCAGCACCGCCCCGTTTCGCGCCGCCCTTCGACCGCGCCGCCTACAATGCCGGCGCTTGCTCCTTCACCAATGCGTCCCTGCCGTCGTGCTTCACGGGTGCGGGGGCGGGCATGGCGGCGTACGAGCGCGGGTGGAAGGACACCACCACATTGCTGCCGGGGGAGGTGCTCACTCTCTGGACCGGCTGGTACTCCCAGGTCAGAAGGCCTCCTCGTTCCGTTCCTCTCACATGGTTGTAAGCCGTTTCCA